AATTTTACGATTTTGCTGTGTTAGGGTCGACAAGGGTCCCCGTCCGTACACCTCAACCCCACCCCACCCATGAAAGTTCCCTTGATTGTCAAGGAGACATCCCGCTCGTGATTGACCAGACACTTATACAACTCTTTCAAAATGATCTTCATGAAGGCTAGTTTAGTCTTGCAAAAAATATCAAATCTCGGATTTCTACGTCCTAAAAATGGATCGAAACAACTTGGATCGAAACGTCTTTGGATCAAAACGACCGGTATTCGGTTTTTGTATATACCAACTGTGAATTAAGAAGGGCATTGTTGATAACTCTATTTATTTTCAATTTAAAAAGTGCGTTGCTCATTTGATCAACAAATTTCGTTAAATCATGATGTGGAGTAAATTAAAGAATTGACTGTTTTRAATGTATAGCTGCATGTAGTCTTGGCTCGAATGTATGTAGTCAATAGGATTAACCAACAGTTGGTCTCGGTTTTACTTAACCCATTGAACTGTACTCAACTATATCAATACGTTGGAAAGTGTCGGTGCTTCTAAAGAAAATGCTGTGCGAAAAAGATAAATTTTAACACCGTGAAAATGCAGAACAACATGGCTAACGTTTTGTATGTTAACTTTTTTTATGGTTATTTAACATTATCTTTTTGCATAACTATATCAAAAGGTTATAAGGTTGAAGAAAATATGCCATGCCATAACCTTGAAAATTGAGCTGCTTATATAGCAATATAGAGATTTGCAGTCGGAAAACCAGCGATGTGTCAGTCAAATTGCTTAATTCTTTTTATCATATAATTATCTATGGAATACCTATATTTCTCAATTTCGAAAAGATGTTTTCACTAGTGAAAATACACATTCGAGGTTTCTCTATATAGTTGAAGTAAGAAAAAAAGTATTTTACGACATAATTTGCTTTCATATGTAATTATATGATAAACAGAATATGACATAACCGCTTGGAGATTTTTTCCTTCCGTGTTGAAAATCTCTTATTCGTTCGCTACGTTAATTCGAGAGAGATCTTTTCAAAACTGGAATACATATAAAATCCGTCTGATCGCCGCGCACCATTGTAATATCCTCTATATAATTCACAGGCAGCCCAACCTAAGCATTTGACTAAAAGCTGATTTACACGGTACGATTTGTCGCGCGCGACTTGTAGTATACGATTTTCCTACTACAAGTCGTAGGATTTTAAGCAGTGGTTCAAAATCCTACTACAAGTCGTGGGTTGCGTACGACTGTTGTAGACAAGTCAGTAGGGGCATTTACACTGCGCGATTCAAGTCGTATACTACAAGTCGCGTGCGACAAATCGTACCGTGTAAATCAGCCTTAAGAGATTTAGCGACATCTATAATGCATGTAAATATGAAATTTTTGAAAGAAAAAAACTATAAGTAAAGAACATTTGTCTCACCTTTTGATGTGGTTTTCGTTACGAGTTGAGGCGTAATTTGCCGTTCAAGTTCTCCCTCCTTTACTTATATAAGTAAAGCTGCTTGAATGAAACAATAACATTGAATTCAACGTACTCACAGAAGACTAAAGACTGATGTGGACTGTTTAATTAGAACCTATAGTAAAAACATCAATGACTGTCGACATTATTGACTTTTTGAAAACGTGCTAGGTTTATTCAATAAAATTGTAGTTTCTCAGTGGACTTTCTGATAATATTTCAATGGCGATGTTGATGAATGTAATTATTCATGACATATGTTTAAACCAGACAACTATCTAAATTCATATTCTTTCTAAAGCGAACTTTTATGGCTTTTCTGATATTCACCCTGATCTTCTAAAGTCAGCCTCTACCCACCATGCAACACACACCACTTTGACTCAA